GTTCGTTGCACGGGATCTTCTGCTCGATAACCGGTTTGCGCGGAAGTTTTGACAAATCGCTCAGGGCTTCCGCATTCGAAATGGCGCAATTTACGCTGCGCGCGAGATTAGAAAAAAAAAAGCACGCACGATGCGCGCGGACACGTAGGGAAGCGCGACACGACGCGAACGGCCGCCGAGAGATGTAAATTCCCGCGAGCGTTATTCATTATTCGCGTTAGCATCGCGTATTAACGGCGCTAATATATTTGAACAACCGTAGGTGCCGCTCGCGGGCTTAGCGCGCGGGTTTATTCATGATGCTATTAAAAGCGCGCGCACTGCATACCGGCGTCTTCTAGCGAGCGGCGTCTGCGAAACGGGGAAAATAAAACTAAGAGTCTACAAGAGTTATACGAAAAAGATCATTGTTGCCACAATATATAATTACACAGGCATTTAATAATTTCCCTGCCAAGCTGGTTTCGTTTTATTTTATTTCTCTTTTTTTTTTTTTTGTTTAATTATTTTTCAACAGACACAAAAATGCGAGATGAATATAATGTTCTTTATATCTTCGCATATAGGTATGTCTGAAGACTACGTGTTTGAAAGATAAACCATGGCGTGGTTCAAATGCAAATTTCAGGCTTTACGTAAGAATAAAGAATGAAACGAAAAAAAAAAAAAAAAGAGATCGATTCTCGGAGCTCGGAATAGCGGTAGTTTCGGGCCGCACCACGGTATGTTGAAAGGAGAACGGGGGAAGAGCATTGGCGAGAATGGGAAAACGCTTTATGAGAAAGACCACGGGGCCCGTTTTCGAGACGCGGATGTACACCTGTTTGGATCACTGACTCACGTCGCTCGAAAAACCCCGCGGCGTTCGCGACGACGCGTCTTCGAGCGGACTCCTTCATTTTCGTTCCACCGGTTCCGCGTGCCCCGCCGCGTGCTCCTTGGGCCGTCGGCCGTCGCCTTCCGTAATGAATGCCGACTCGGTCGAACATCGTTTATCATTAGACGTCTATTATCCACGAAAACTACGATTGTCGGGATTAATCACGCGTTCGGAGAAAGGAGATTGAACGCGCCATATAGACACGATTTCCAACTCCAATCTGGACGCGCGGGCTTTTCTTTTTTTTTTTTTTTTTTGCTCTCGTAATAAATTCGCGTGCGCCACACTTAAGAAGCAATTTCCTCGATTTGAAATCTCTTGTAATTGAAATGATTCTCGCACATACGTGAATTTGCCACAAAGACTAGCTTTTTCGAGCACAATTTTTTAATCAGAGAGCCTTGAGAGAAAATTTGTCTAACATATGCGCACTATTTTTAGACGACCGTTGCAACATCCACGTAGAAAATCCGGCGTCTCGTGACGTTGTCGCCATTCATAGTGGCGCCCAGATTGGAGACATTGTGCGAGAGTCTGTGTGTGTTCCAGCGCGTTCGACATAGCGGCCGGCCGTGCGTGCCGGCGCATACAAAACGAGCTGACAAGTCGCATATATACGTGCGCGCCGTCGCATGCGAATCGTATATATGCAGGCGAGTTCATAGAGTCGCATCGGCAACGGTCGAACGTCGGAGAGAAATTATCTCGGGAACGAACGAGGTTACGGGTTTCCTCGGAGAGAAGAGGATGAGAGAACAATTCGCGTGTAAGAATGAGAAAAGAAGAAGAAGAAGAAGAAGAAGAAGGAGGAGGTGGAGGAGGAGGAACATCGAGTCACGTGAGGAGAGAGACGTTTGATCGGAGAAAGGAGACGCAAAACGGTGCCGCGCTCGAAGATGCATACAATCCTCCGAGGAGGATTGTGCAAAAGCCAGTACATATACTCTCATCTCCTCGATCGCTTTCCGTGCTATTATGCCACTACCGAGAGAAAGAGAAGAAGAGATGCTTATCCCTTCCCGTGTGTTCCTTCTTTACATCGATATATTGAAATTAGAAGCGGGGAAAGTCGACGACGACGACGACGACGACGACGATTACAACGTTGCGGGGAGGCTGTGCTCTATCGCGACCGCATCACGTTCGCGTAAACTAGGTCGCTATTAGAAAACTCCCGTGCGATTTGCCGGCGATACATCCGCGTATATGTAACCTATCGAAAGTTGCGACGTACGGAGAGCGAAGCCTTCGTGTCCGAAACGCAAACGTTAATTGAGATTTTCTGATGTGCGTTTCACGCGAACGAACACACGTCATATTGTGCGATAATCAGCTTTGAACGTTCGAAATCCCGTGTTGCGTCTAATCGAGAGAGACGAAAGTTTAAACCGACACACGCGGCGCTCGGTGAAGATCATTTTCGAATTATTTTCCGATTTCGGAGCGCTGCGCAAAAACAAAAACTGCGTCCGAGGTTGAAAATCCGCGGGCTCACTGATGAGAGAATCGGGTAGGATTTACATTGTCAAGAAGAGGACTCTCTCGCGGATATTTTCCCAACCGCTAAACGCAGGTGGCATTCAGAAGTTTGCGCGAGAGAAAGAGAGAGAGAGAGAGAGATAGGAGCGTTCACCGCTCACTCGCGCGTCAGCTCCTGCCGACGAGATTATATACACCGTATTCAATCAACGGAGACGATAATGACGGCATTATCCGCGGAAGAGCGATGAAAGTCAGGCGGTTTACCGTTTTTCGTGGCACAGACGCGAAAACAGTTTTGTAGTTATTACACGACGTAAATATACGTAGGTACATATACCAGCGCGTTCGCAGATACCGAGGCATCCGGGCTTTTATCTCTGACTCTCCTCTCCCTCCTTTTCTCTCTCTCTCTCTCTCTCTCTATCTTCTACGGTTCTCTCTCGCCGCGCACGAACTTGTCTACACACTCTTTCTCTCTTCGCGCACCCACGTGTGTACGCGCTTCCTACACGTAATTCTTCTTCTATTACGCGCACCACAGAGCGGCGCCATAATTGAATTAGACCGGCGAAGCGCTAAACGATCGAAGGTAGTGCGTCGAAAAAAAAAAAAAAAAAGACGAGAAGAAAAATCTCTTCCATTCGACGAAAAGGAAGCAATTTAAGGGTTTCTGTTTATGTTGCTCGACGAGTGCTTCGAGAGAGGAGAAAGAGAGAGAGAGAGGAAGAGAGACGAGAAAAAACAGAGAAAACAGGACCCCGTAGAGAGGTCCCCTTTGTCGCGATGAGGTCCTCTTGTCGGGAGATATACCCGCGAGCGAGTTATGAAATATACAAACAGAAAGACTGGCTTCTTCAAACAATCCACGAGGACGCGGAGCGCATGTACACGGGTGCGGTTTTTTTTTTCTTTTTCGAATGCGTGCCCTTCGTGGGACCCCGTCAGGCACCCAGCGGACCCATCGTCATCTGAAGGAGGCACTCTCTCGATGGGGTCTTGTGTGTGTATAACCGGCTCGCGAGAGGGCACGCCTGCGTGCACACTTCAACGTTCATTCGAGAGGACTGTTTGGGTCCCCTCGAAAAAAATCGCTCGCGCATTATACTGTAATTACGTTAGTCGACGATGGTGACGACGAAGACGACGACGACGACGACGACGACGACGACGACGATGCTCGAGTCGTAGGTTGCACGTTACTAATTGACTACCGACCAAACATTTCTTCGAAATGTCGAGAAGAACGAGAACGCGTTTCGTAGCGCGATGTTATATACGGTAAATACTCTGACGACGATAGATATCAGAATAAGTTTTACGCAATATTGCGATTATCAAAAATACGGAGATGTGTTATTTGATTCGCGATAAATGTGAGAAACAAATTTTGAAACTCACTTTGTGAGAGATTCAGGTGCGATACTTCGGTCGCGAGTGCGCACACAATTCGCGTGTAAAATTTGTTTCACGATCGAGCGAACCGACGCTAACAGAAGAAACGCGACGGGGGTTGAATTCACAACGTGGGTGAAACGATCGCAAAAATTTCGCTGCCGCGAGGAGAGTTCATCGACGGAGAAGAGCGCGCAGCGGGAGAGAAAAAAGCGAGAGGAAGAAAGAGAGAGGAACCTCACTGGATGGAGAGGAGTTGCCAAGCGACTGGAACCAAACTGGAATTCTACGCAATGACTCGCGCGGATGGGAGACCAGCGGACCGGAAATCCCTCGGCGCGCGGATTCGATAACTCTCTCGCCCGTCCGCCTCACAAAGGAGTCGGCGCTAGAAATTCGCGGCGATTCGCCCGAACGGCGATATTACGCGGCGAGTTACGAGAACGCGCACGACTTTCTTACTTCGGGCGCGTTCGTTAGCGCGCGTTGCGAAACAAACGGCGTGTTCGCGATTCACACTCGGCCGGGTGTTTCGGCGATTTCGAGAATGGGAACTCGAAAGAGAGATTTTTTTTTTCTTTTTTATTTACGTATATAGACCTACAAACGCGCGCACACATTTGTATTCCCAGAAGGCGGCGCGTCGCTAATGAAACGTCGCCGCCGTTTCTTGTCGGCGTCGCGTCACGACGTCGATGATAAATGATTCGGTTGCCGGTCGATCCGTGAGTCCGAATGTGTCGTCCCCTCGTTACGACTTTATCCTCACACGTTTCGTCTCCGACCGCGTCCCCGTTCACGGCCGCCATTGTGTGCCGGTGACCAAACAAAATTACGGTCCCGTATATATATACACCGTAACGGCGATTATTAATCGCGGGACATCGAATTAAAGTCCTCGTCGCCTCTCTGCTCGTACGTAAGCGACACGTAACCGGCGACCGGTTAGGATTTTCAGTCGACGTTCGCGTTCTCACGGATATTAGGTGATGCCGCGTGTCTGTCTCGAACCTTTTCAACCACGTATTTTCTTGACGCGTATTTAATCGTTTGACATTCGTCGCGTCGACATTATGCAAATAATAAAATAATATTATAACTGATAGACGTGTGCTTGTATAAATTAAAAATAAAATACGTGTGTGTAACAAATTTCCGTAACACGAATAGAAGAAACTCGTTATTATTTATAATATGGCTATTCAGAAGAAATATACATCTAAAACGCAATTGCCAAGAAACTTACCACCCATCGGAAAGTGAAGTGCAGTTGCAGGGTGACAGGGTCGGTGAGGGTGAAAGTATTCAGGCCGAGAGCGTGACTAGATACGTTGCCGAAGCTACAGGAGCCGATGGCGGTGACGTTTGACTGGTACTCTTTGAGGCAGAGCCAGAAGGCCGTCGAGCAGGGCGTCGCGCAGGGTGGAAATTCTTCTTTTCGATCCCCGCCTCCCCCGCCGCAACACCTACCGTCCACCAGAGTGCCCCTGTTGTTCGTCAGCGAGAGGATCTGCACCTCGAAGTATCCACCCGCGGTTATCGCCTGCAACAGCAAACATGAAAAAAATGTCTTCAGGAACTGACAGATTATTTTTCGACACGACAACGTTATTATCTTATTCCATTACCGTGACGATATAATTATCGCAATCACGTAACAAGTTGAACGAACACTTTGCGCGGAACTACTTCCTAAATTCTGATTTGTTGTTTTTCAATATTCAACAAGTAACGCATTGCGCAACGCGACTCGTTGTGCGCGTCATGAAATTACTCGTTGCTCATTAACTCGCCGAGGATTATTACGTAAGTACAAATCGCGAAATTTATGGAAAATGTTATGAACGGGAAAAGTGAGAGGAGGGGAGAATAAAAACGCCGCTTCCTTGTGAAAGGCTTTTTCGGTTACAACTTCTGTGTTCCAGCAGCCACACGGGAACCTGAAAAGCCTCGGGGTTTGCGTTCATTATTGCGTATCGTGGAAACGGAAGTCTCGTGTTAACGTTTCGGGAGAGAGATAGAGAGAGAGAGAGAGAGAGAGAGAGAAAGAAATACGACGGGCCTCGGGGCAAATACGCCGAATGCAACAGCAACCAGCCGATGCAGCAGCTTCGGGCCAATCTCGGGAAAGAAATCGAAGCAGTTTCGAAACTGCAATCGCGGCCGGGCAATTTTCGAACCCGCCGCGCCAACACCGCGTGCCGTTACGCGCGATACGCATCGCACATTCTGCGTAAGTACAGTGAGCGATTACCTTTTCCTCGCCTTCTCCTTGCGCACCTGCGTTCCCCATATGCAGATAAAGAACACACGTCGGCGGCTTAATGCCAATGATAGATGCAAGTCGAGATACACTTTATCAGACGTTTCTTGCAAATTCAAAGTTGCAGTTTAGTTCGTCAAAAAAGCCTAACAATTATTTTTTGATAGAAGCATTAAGTAATTTACAAAAAATTAGAAGTTTATAAAATACAACTTTTTTCTTCGATGAATCTCACAGATCAATTTATAAGAAACTTCAGTAAAATAACGCAACGTAAGTGGAACAAGTCCGTGTGCACAAATCTCTTCCTCGAGAAAGTGATTTTGTCGTACTTCAATACGCGCCTAAAGAGAAACACGAATTGAATATCGTACGTTTTGCAAGTGTGACGGGGGTTATTTATATATATATATATATATATATTTAGCATTAGTAGTTTGTAGAAACACGCGCGTGTGTTGCATGCATGCACGAGCGTACGTAATTGCGGTACAAGTAAGATCGAAGGTAGAAAGCGCGAAGGATCGTCTGCTGGCCTTTGCTTTCCATAACGCGCGCGCTTCCTTCTCATACGTTATATAAGCCCGTCTCGCGAGTGACATTTCAACGGGGTCCGGAGCTCCCGCGGGCTCTTCGTTTCGAGAGATATGTTCGAGATAAAATCGGACGGGGAATAATTGAGAAGCTAACCGTCTCGCACAATCGTTCGCGTGACGATTACGTTTTTTACGCGATAATAATCGCGCGGGACGAAAGAAAGAACGTGGCGATAACACATAATGGAGTTCGTAATGAATCGGATCTTTTGTGTGTACGTCCGAACAATGCGCGCGCGCGTATAGAAACTCGCGCGCGTAGGTTACAAGCCGCGTAATTTCGTGCTTTTGACTGACGTAATGATATGCGCGGCAAAAACGTGCACTTGAGGTGATTTGAAGAAATCGTTAAAAAACAAAAAAACAAAAAAAAAAAAAAAAGAAAACAAAAGAGGAAAGAAATGAATCAGCCAGTTTTTGTTTCTGCGAAAACGTTGCGTAAACCAAACAATTTACAAACAAAATGATTGAGTACATAATATTTAAATTGTTTTTTTTTATTGACGTTCGCGCAAAAGGTACATAAGGAAAAAAAAATATTGAGAATTTTTCTAAATAAAAAAAAATTAAACATACAATTGGAAACTGTAAAGAAATTATTTGTAATATCAAATTGTTATACAATTTAATTATTTGTATACGACATGTTAAGAACAACATTGTGCGCTTATATTATTTTATCAAATTAATTGAATTTCTAACAACAGTATCAACACGTTTTGCGATGTTTTACAGCGTAGTAATTTTCTTCATAGATTCCAATTCTGTCCGCACAAAATGCTTGAGAGGCTCGTTTCAACCAGCACTTTGTGCTTTACGATCAAAATGTTGGCCACGAAGCACGGCCTCGCGTATACAATCCCATCGCGCCGTCTGTCTTTCTCTCTCTCTCTCTCTCTCTTACTCTCCCGATTTATTCTCGTGTTAGCCTGACCTATTCGACAGTAGTAATAACTATTCCCGCGGCGTGATGCACATCTATTAACGCACGGCAGCGGCAGCAGCAGCAGCAACTGCTGATAAAGCAGCTTGGTGGCTTTTCACCCAAGTACGTATCTCGGAGATCGGGTCCGGACTTAAAAAAATCGACGGTGTTTCCTCAACGTTCGCGCGTTGTCATCGCGCTTTTTGTTGCTCGTTTACGACGACGGACGACGATAAATCTCGCCGCGCGAGAGTTTCCGTGCGCGTTTGTTTGGAAAGCGAACGCCGTGTGTAACGACTCGCGTACGCGTTTTATTAGCCGAGCATACTTATTCTGGAGGCTTTCTCGGCTTCGCCGGTAACCTCCTGCCTCCGTGCGCGGGTCCAAAGAGGCTCTTCTTCTCTTTCTCTCTATATCGCGCGAGCGTTTGCAAACGCGCGCTCCGCAAACTTTGCACAGTCCGCTCACGTGCCGGCGAGAAATTGCCCGGACGACGAGCGAGCTGGAGATGTTTTAAGTTAGCCGACGCGGAAGAGCCTCTTCGGTGGAGTCGCAGATGGGCGCGCGCTTACGAAGTCTCTCTCGCGGAGATGCTGTTTCAGAAGAAACGCTCGCGGACGCGACCGGAATGTCTCAGGCCGCATTTCGGCATGAGAGGGGGTTGAAAAACGTGACGCATTGACGTTTCAATATTTTAACATGGTAATGCTGGGATAATACTAGACACACGCAATTCTGAATAATATTATAGAATAGAACGAAGAAGATTTTCAAGACAATTTTTAAAATTTTATCTCTCGAGAAACGATTGTTTATTTATTTTAATATAAAACGTCGGATCTTCGATCTTCGAGTTTGTGCAGCTCGCGATCACGACAAGCCCCTCGACGTTCACCGTTGGAAGGAGACACGACCCAGTGTCGAGTCTCTCTATCTCCAGTATTTTCCCACATGGTCGGAGTCGACCGCCACCCAACGATAATTGAAGTTCCCCGGGGCTGTCGAGGTGTAATAAAGGTGGACACCTCGTATTAGCGACCACTTCCCCATCCTGGCGCACACCGCGCCTTCTCTTTCTCCTCGCAGCGATTATTTCTTTCGTATTTCGCCGTCGACGACGACGTTCGCTTTCGCGGTTGTTAGGTTGAAAGTTCATACCCTTTCCTAACCACACATTACGCACGCATTGTAATAACTCCATTGTCCTTTAAATTGGTTTTCGTAATTTTACATCGAAAACCGAGATTCTCCAATCATGCGCGCTGTTATTGTCTGTCCCAATGACGAAATCGAAGGAAACCCCCGGTTTTTTTACGAACAGACAGACGGTGTTCAAGTGTGTAAGCTCCCGCGAAGTTCCCACGGGCCAAATCGGAAAACAGACATCGAGGACGGAGATGTAATCGGTTTCAAAGCTCCGGGGAGAGAAGATTGATTTCTCGGATACGTGAAGTTACATCGCTTTCGCGGACATTTTAGCCTCGTCGCGTATCGTTACAGCGATGTAACACACCTTGGTAACCAGCTACACACTTGTTCCACGTCTCTACGTGCTCGTGTGCACGTGCACAAGACGGGCGGAGTGATGGCCTTCGGTGTGCGCACGTATATTATAGCGGGTGCACACGTGTGTCTGTGTGTGTATGCGCTCGTCCGCTCGCGAGACGGTCGGTTCGAGTCGGAGAGAAGAAGAGTCTTCCTTTCCTTTCCGCATAGCCAAGGTGCAGCGAGCCATACCTCGGTGCGCCTACTTTTATATACACTCCCGTGGAACTCGCGCCGGCCGGAGTACGAATAATTCGCCCGACCGGCCGAAAAAAAAAAAACGCCCGCGGAACGCATACTGAGGAGCGACTCTACCGTGTCTTCTCCGGAGAGCCGCGCGTCTTCCTCCTTCCTTTGTTCTAAAACCCTCTTCCGAGGAAACTCATTTGCCGATCCGCGCGAAAAAGCAGAACCGCTGCCGCTTTCGAAAAGACCTGCGTATATATATATATAGTCGCGCGATTTTTCTTTCGCTCAAACAAGCAATCGAGTCGCAGTAAGTACGTATAAAGTTTTTTGTTTACTTTTTACCACCGATGTATTAAATAACAGTGTAAATGTAAAATGTAATATTGTTTTAAACATAGAGATTATGGAAATCTCCACTCGATACGCACCCCAACTTAAAAGCGTGATAATCATCAACGATAATAAGCAGATTAAAAAAAAAATATATATATATATATATATATGTATACGATTATAAGTGCAGAAAGTGTGTTAATCACATCGATTGCTATCGTTGATCTCATTAGGGGTGGACTTAAGCGGAAAACGGAGACGTGCGCAGAATATATGTAATTATGCAAATGCGTAATTACAGCTTGTGCTTGTATAGTTATGTAAACCGTTAATTGCGATTACCCCGCGCCGCTACCGTCCGTCGCAGCGGGAGAGTCTTCATCGTCGAAAGTGTCCCTATAAATTTTGTCGTCAAATGTCAACGCTAATTGGAAAGCGGGGGGCAAAGCGGGTCTTCGTAAATTGACCGGTTGAATTAGCGCGATAATTCACGTTGTTTTCAAAACAACGAGCGATTTCTATCTCGCGCAAATAATAATCGATACGTTTAGAGAGAAAACGTAAGTAGAGAAAACGAAAAATCGAGACGGAACGGGATGCAATAATTTCGCAAAATTGATTACGCAAGCGCGCGAGCTAATAAATAATAAAATAATGAAAATTATATATATTGTTTATCATCCTTTTATATC